ACATTAAAAAAAAAAAAAAAAAAATAGCCAAGCCATGTCAGTGTGGTGCCTAGCATGCCCAGCTACTTGGGAACCTGAGACAGGGACGACTGATTAAGCCCAGGGCCCACGAGTTTAAGGTTGTACCAAAGCTGCGGAGGTTGCAGTGAGCTGAGATCAGGCCACTGCACTCCAACCTAGGCAACAAAGTGAGACTCCATCCCAAAAAAAGAAAGAAAAAAAAAGTCAATTTCAGAAAAGATTCATTACTTTCGATGAGTACATAGTCTATACATTTTCATTTCTGTAGCTGGCACTAAAGTATAAACACCAAGGTAATTCAAATTCCAATCGTCTGCTCTAACAGTAGGATTCCATTTCAAGATTATCAGAACAGAAAATAAACTGAGCCCACCAACAATACCTGGAATATTGGGAATCAATATACAAATCCAAAACCACCACAGAAAAGTATGTTTACTTAGTTCTTTAATAAACATTCTCTCAGGGCCAGGCGCCTTGGCTCATGCCTGTACTCCCAGCACTTTGGGAGGCCGGCAGATCACTTGAGGTCAGGAGTTCGAGATCAGCATGGCCAACACAGAAAAACCCCGTCTCCACCAAAAACACAAAAAATTAGCCGGGCGTAGTGGCGTGTGCCTGTAATCTCACCTACTCAGGAGGCTGAGGCAAGAGAATCGCTGGAACCCGGGAGGTGGAGGTTTCAGTGAGCCAAGATCGTGCCCCTGCACTCCATCCAGCCTGGGAGACAGAGAGAGACTTCACCTCAAAAAATAAAAATAAAAAACATTATCTCGGGCCAGGTGTGGTGGCTCACACCCATAATCCCAGCATTTTGGGAGGCTGAGGTATGCAGATCACTTGAGGACAGGAGTTTGAGACCAGCCTGGCCAACATGGTGAAACCCCATCTCTACTAAAAGTACAAAAATTAGTCAGACGTGGTGGTGCACCCCTGTAGTCCAGCTCCTCGGGAGGCTGAGGCATGAGAATCACTTGAACCCGGGAGGCAGAGGTTGAAGTGAGCCAAGATTGCACCACTGCACTCCAGCCTGGGCAACACAGCGAGATTCTATCTCAGGAAAAAAAAAAGAAGAAGAAGAAGAAGAAAAGAGAAAAAACAAAAAACATTCTTCAAAAAATGTTGAGACCAGGAGTAACGTAAATCTGAAGTCTAAATCCAGATGTACCTTACCTGATTTTCAACAATCAGTATAAAAAATCTTTTAAATCTTTAAATGTTTTTCTTTCTTCACTACCAATAAAGCTGTAACTGTTTTGCTCATTCATTCCTTTGCAAATATTCCTTGGGCAATTTATTCTCCATATAGTATTAAGTCCTGGGCATAGAAATACAGCAGTAGACAAGCCAGACACAATCCCTATCTTCATGGTTCTTACTATCTAGTGACTGTAAGAAACCATAAATAAATAACTACACAAATAATTAATTATAATTGTGGTAATTACTATGAAAGAAACTACACTAAACTAAGATGCAGTCTTCAACCAGCTGTATGACCTTAGACCTCCGCTTCTTCATCTGTAAATCTAAGGGGTAGATCTGAATGATTTCTTCTTCTTTGTTTTTCCTTTTTTTGAGACAGGTTCTCACTCTATTGCCCAGGCTGGTATGCCGTGGTATGATCACCGCTCACTGCACCTTGACCTCCCAGGCTCAAGTGATTCTCCTGCCTCAGCCTCCCAAGTAGCTGGTACTACAATTGTGCACCAGCATGCCCGGCTAATTTTTGTTTTTTGCAGAGATGAGGTTTCACCACCATGTTGCCCAGGCTGATACTGAACTCCTGGGTTCAAAAGCCATCCACTCATCTCGGCGTCCCAAAGTGCTGGGACTATAGGCATGAGCCACCCTGCCCAGCCCTGAATGATTTCTTGAGATCCCTTTATATTAAACAATTTTACAAACCTAGAAGTATAAAACTTTGCTTCCAGAGTCCCTTTGTCAAGATATTTACATTTGTAGGATCAGCAAAGTAACACAGTCCCCATCTCCCAATACATGAAAGTTGTTCTGGCACAAAAACGTAAGCTTAGATGGTCACTAATCTTTGCTGTTACAAATTTTTAAGACCAAATTCCATATATTAAATATATTATGATGTTGTAAACCAAGCTTGTCCAACCTGCAGCCCATGGGCCTCATGAGGCCCAGGATGGTTTTGAACGCAGCCCAACACAAATTCGTAAACTTTCTTAAAACATTATGAATTTTTTGCAATTTTTTTAAGCTCATTAGTGTTAGTATATTTTATGTGTGGCCTAATACAATTTGTCTTCCAATGTGGCCCAGGGAAGACAAAAGATTGGACACCCCTGTTGTAAACTAACTTATAAAGAATAAGTGGGGAAAAAAAGTATGTTCATAAATTATCTGTATGTATCAGAATTACTTTGATAGCTATTTAAAATGCACAATCCCAGGCCCCAACAAAGACCTACTATAGAATACCTGGAGGTCAGGCTTGGAATCTGCTCTTTTTGATAAGTTTCTCAAGTTAATTCTAATATACACTAATGTTTGTTCTACTCAAAGCAGAACAAATAATATTAGAAGAAGTAGCTTCAGAGAAAAACACTTCAGGATAAGAACTATAGTAAGCTTACCTGTGTAGCTTTGTCCCTCATGCAAGGTGCAGCTTGCCCATGGCTATCACGAGGCCAGTGCCCGGCAAGATACGGTGCAGCAAGAGTATCCAGGGAGGAAGTGCGTCGGATAATACTGGAGGGGCTTGAAGAAGGCTGTCGTGTTTTGTCACCTAAAGACAAAAATGCTTGTTTTAATAAAATTAGGAAAGAAACAAAGCAGAAACTAAGTTTTAAACTACGCAGAAAGTTCTCCAACTTAACGATGGTTATCCCCTTTAACCACAGGGAATACTTCCAAGACCCCCAGTAAAGATGCCTGAAACGGCAGATTGTACTCAATTCTATATACACTGGTTTTTCCTATATATACAAACCTATGATAAAGTTTAACTTGTAAGTTAGGCACACCATGAGATTAACAACAATAACTAATAATAAAATAGAACAAGTATAACAACAAGCCAGCATCACTGCTCTTGGGCTTTGGGGCCATTAAGTAAAACGAGAATTCCTCGAACATTAGCACTGCAAAACCATGCCAGTCAATCCAGTGACTGGGAGGGCTCCAAAGTGACTAGCAGGTAGGGAGCATAGACAACGTGCATAGGTTGGACAAAGGAATGATTCACGTTCCTGGTGGGGGAAGCGAGACAGCAAGACATTTCATCACCCTACTCAGAATGACGTGAATTTATAACATATAAATTATTTATTTCTTGAAATTTTCCACTTAATCTTTTCAGACCAAGGTTGACTAAAAGTAACTGAAACCATTAAAAAAAAAAGGATAAGGAAGGATTACTGTATATAAAAAGAAACAAAAAGGAACAAGCTACTGATACATGCAATAACTTGCATGACTCTCCAGAGAACTATACTGAGTGAAAACAGTTGACGCACCCTAGGCCTACCAAATCAAAATCTCTAGGGATTAGGCCCAGGAATTTTCTATAGAATCAATGTATCCCTCATATCCAACAAATTCTTACTTGGATTCTTCTTTTTGTTTATAAATTAAACCCTTGTTTGATACATTTCAGGGAAATATGAGGACATAATGAAAATAAGACAGGAAGGTAATTATCATGGGAAAATATAAAAATAAATCAGTGACAACCTTTCACTAAATATTGTCACTAAAAAATTAGTGACAATGTTATTTGATAATGACATCTAAAAGTAATTCCGGCACTTAGTGCTCATCATATTCCTCAATCTTCACAGAGGATGAAGTAATAACACATCTGCTTCAAAACAACTTAGTACCAGCCCAAAAGACAAAGACAAATTAACACCTTGCTAATGGATCCCTTGCTTTTGAGAGTATCCTAAGGGATGCATAAACCAAATCAACTGCCAAGAACCAACCACCAGCTTTGTAACAGGGGTAGGTTTCATTTCTAAGCAAACAAAGTGGGTATTTGCCAATATAATCCAAGATATCCAATGTAAATTAAAATAGTAAAATAATACAGTGGCATTAAAGCATATTACTGAATAATGTAATATCAATATAATATTACTTATTAATGTTTCCTCACATTGATAAGGAATGTGAGGAAAGACACATATAAAAAAGTGGGTTTTGGCCAGGTATGGTGGCTCACGCCTATAATCCCAGCACTTTGCGAGGCTGAGGCAGGAGGATCACCTGAGGTCAGGAATTCAAGACCACCCTGGCCAACATGGCGAAACTCCGTCTCTACTAAAACTACAAAAATTAGCCAAGCGTGGTGGCGGACGCCTGTAATCCCAGCTACTCAGGAGGCTGAGACAGGAGAATCACCTGAACCCGGGAGGCAGAGACTGCAGTGAGCCAAGATCACACCACTGCACTCCAGCCTGGCAACAGAGTAAGACTTTATCTCAAAAAAAAAGAAAAAAAAAAAAGTGGGTTTTGCAATAACATCTGTTTTCACTGTACAGGAAATAGTTTTTACTACATCAGAAAATTAAAACATTGTAAACATCAGATTTCTAGTTAATAATACAATAGCTAATTTAATATTTTTTATTTATAAAAGCTTAAATTCTTCAACAATGCAGGGCAAGTTTTGATACATCAAAATAAACTTTAAGTACCAACCAATACCTCATACATGATTTAATAATTGGAAAATAAATCTATGTATAATTTTCTGTGAGAATAATTCTAACTACCCTTACCCCACAGTTGCCAGTAAAAAAGGAAAATGTGTTCTCCTAAATAAATGGACCACAATAAAACTATATTCAATGTGCACATTCCTTTAAGATTAAGCCCCCAAATCAAAGTGGCATTAAAAAAACTATTTCAAATAATAATCAAGTTTAAAATTGTATTTACAAAAAGAGCACATAACAATGAATTGCAGAAAACTAGAAACAAAATGTCCAAAATGAGAAGATGATTGGATACATTACGACAGAGTCGTATGTAATATGTAATATGATAGGCCATTCATAGAATAAGCACATAGATACACAGATCCTGGTCTAAAGAGTCATTCATGATAAAGTCAGTGAAAAAAGCAAGCCCTCACCATTTATAAAAGGTATGATCTCATATTTTGTTTTAAAAAGTAATTAGATGTGCATAAAAGTGTTAGTTTTTTGTTTTGTTTTGTTTTGTTTTGACATGGAGTCTCGCTCTGTCTCACCTAGGCTGGAGTGCAGTGTGGCGATCTAGGCTCACTGCAACCTCCACCTCCCAGGTTCAGGTGATTCTCCTGCCTCAGTCTTCCAAGTAGCTAGGACTACAGGCGCCCGCCACCATGTCCAGCTAACGTTTGTATTTTTAGCAGAGACAGGGTTTCACCATGTTGGCCAGGCTGGTCTCGAACTCCTGATCTCAAGTGACTTGCCCCCTTTGGCCTCCCAAAGTGCTGGGATTACTGGCATGAGGCACCACACCCGGCCAGTGTTAGTACATTTATTTTTTAAACCTGGAAAAAGTATGCACCTAACCTTTTGGGGGACAAAATTAGTGTTTTAATTTCTAATTTAGGCATTTCTATAATGTTTGAATTTTTATATGGAGTATACTGTCAGAGAAAAGGTATTAAAACAATAGAAACACTTTTAAAACAAGTTATTAATTTCTGAAATCGTAAAATGCTTAAAAATACAAAAATACCCATATTAGATTTGGGGAATTTTTATGGTTTATATCTGTGGTTGGGAAAACTACAGCCTACAGGCCAAATCTGTCTTGCATCTGTTTTTTTGTATGGCTAGCAATCGAAAACAGGATTGTACATTTTTTAATGGTTGGGGGAAAAAATTAAAATATTTTGTAATACATAAAAGTTAAATCAAATTCAAACTTTAGTGTCCATAAGTAAAGTTTTATTGGAACACAAATATGATCATTCACTTACAGGTTGTCTATAGCTGCTTTTGTGCTTAAAAAAAAAAAAAAAAAAAAGGCAGCATTAAGCACACACAGCAAAGACCTTATATGGCCCTCTCGTTGCTTCACACTGCTGCTCAGCACTACAAATCATAATGACAAAGTTATGCCATGTGTATCCCTTGTCTGGGTGAAAAGTCAAATTCAAAGATGATATGTAAAATTTCATATAGATCAGCATTAGCAGATGAACATTTGCAATTGATTTGATGATATGGAACACTAACTTTTAACTAGAATTAAGTGAAATGTTACCCCTTTAAAAAGAATTCCCTCTTCTCATTAGAGCTGTATTACCAAAAAATGCATTCAATTATTGTATTTTGAAATTTTGTCCTTTAAAAATTTGTGGAAAATTGTGTGCTCTCTTATTATATTAGTGCCTACATAATATCTTTGATTTTACCTCTTGACCTGTAAAGTCTAAAATTTTACTACATGGTACACTACAGAAAAAGTTTGCTGACCCCTGGTTTCTACTGCATGTCTTTATGTCTTGGTTTCTGTGCTACAACACCCTCATATATTTTATCTTTTGGCAGGGGAAGGGGATGAGCTTAGCTCATTGATGCTTAACTTTCATAGGGGCTTTACAAATATTTTAAAAATATATTCATAATATTATATTACAGTGTTATTCTATTCTGTAAGATGGCAAATATATGTATGAAAACACCTCTTGACACCTCTCTATATTACATTATTATCTTGGTAAGGGTCTTGCATAGCTACAAGTACAAAAGTTCAGGTGGTTTATGTGACCCACATAAGATTCAATTCCACTAATACAATAGTTACAGTAACTGTGTTGTTGCTGAAAATCATAAAAGCTGCTTCACAAATACGTCTGAGACACATAATTTGCTTTCAAAATGGCACAGTTATTTCACTAATACCTAATTGTTATAAATGCTACCTATCTCTCCATGTTCAGTTTTCCTTTTGTAGTACATTTTCAGAAAACAAATGTAGTATATATTCATTTTCAGGAAAATATGTACCCACATTATTAACTGTGACGAGTGAAACGCAATAAATACACATGTTCACAATTTTTCCTCTAACTAAAAAAAAAAAAAATCCCTTTTGGGATAGTCTCAAGAAAACTAGTCTCAGCTGGCAGGGTGGGAAGGCACACACACACAATGTAAACTGGTATCTATTCATTATATCAAATGGCTAAAAGCTGTCTGGCACTTTTCTTCCCTAACTATGACCATTGTTGCTTCAGTTGCCTACCAGTATGTTAATTCAACAGACCTTACTAATGGGTCTGATGTCATTTTTTTTTTTTTTAATTAAAAATCTAAGGGTTAACTTTTCAACCAGTCCTCCAAAGATTATTAAAATTATTGGATTATTATTATTTCTTTTTTAGGGGGAAAGAATCTCGCTCTGTCACCCAGGCTGGAGTGCAGGGGCATGATCTCAGCTCACGGCAACCTCCACCTCCCAAGTTCAAGCGCTTCTCCTGCCTCAGCCTCCCGAGTAGCTGGGATTACAGGCATGCATCACCAAAACACCTAGCTCATTTTTATACTTTTAGTAGAGACAGGGTTTCTCTATATTGGCCAGGCTGGTCTCCAACTCCTGACCTCAGGTGATCCGCCCACCTCGGCCTCCCAAAGCGCTGGGATTACAGACCTGAGCCACCGCGCCCGGCCAGATTATTATTATTTTGATAACGAACTGGAGAACAGATGAGTTATATGTATAAAAATACTGAACATTTTATCTTTGGAACTCCCTTCCTTTAATCCATTCATTCAGATACTAAGG